CACACACACACACACACACACACACACACACACACACACACACACACACACACACACACGCACGCACTCGTTCACACATGTACTCACACACACACATGCAGGCATGCCCATGCACAGACTGTCACACACACATACAAACACTCACAAATACGCACAAGTGCAGATACCTGCATGCACACGCTGATGCAAACAGATGCACGCAGATGCACGTACGCGCGCATGCACACGCGTACACACATGAGTACATGCACACACGCATGTTCTCCTTTGTCGCAGCTAACCATATTATATCAAATTTTCAGTTTCATCATCGCGACCCTGGCCTCATTGGCCTACTCGCCAGTGATGTCATCACGGAAGGTCACGACCTCTTCTATGGAATCATTGCCGATGGAGTGCACACTCATCCTGCAGCGTTGAGAATGGCGCACAGACTACATCCGAAGGGTCCGTATCCATCATCGTCACATGCATGCACAACGCTTACTGTACAATACTGAACATCCAACTTATTAGACACACAAAATGAAATGACAAATTAATTTGTTAATGGAGCATGTATTATAATGATGTTACTTTGACATGGCTGTACCTTTTTCATATGTTTTCACTCGTCCCTGTCTTAAATCCTGTTGCAAGGGTCCGTATGGGTCGTGGAAAACCTGGAAAGTCTTGGCATTTCAAAATATCTTTTTCTGGGTCCAGAAAGTCTTGGAAAATAAGCCCATGAGTCCATCTTGTCTGAAAGGCAATGAAATTTGCTTCAAAAGGAAATGTGTTTATTCACGAAGATTGTATTCAGCTATAATCGCATGCTCATTAAAATGGACCTTTTGGACCTCGTTGAAATTGCTCGTTGAAATGACCCTGGACATCTGGGAAAAATGTTTTTCTTAATTAGGGTTATGTATCTATCTCCCTTATATAAAGGCATCGTGCTGGTGACAGACACCATGCCAGTGATGGGTCTCCTCATTCCCCTACTCCTCCCCTCTCCTCCACCCCCAGATCCTTCTCTGCCTTCCTTCACCTACTCTTTCTTCTCCGCCTCCTCCTTCCGCGTCTCTGACTCACACAGTGTGCTGTATACAGGCGTCGTGTTGGTGATAGAAGCCATGCCAGCAATGGGTCTCCTCATCCCCCTACTCCTCCCCTCTCCTCCACCCCCAGATCCTTCTCCAGCTTCCTTCTCTCCTCCTTCCGCGTCTCTGACTCACACAGTGTGCTGTATACAGGGGTCGTGTTGGTGATAGAAGCCATGCCAGCGATGGGTCTCCTCATTCCCCTACTCCTCCCCTCTCCTCCACCCCCAGATCCTTCTCCACCTTCCTTCCCTACTCTTTCTTCTCCTCCTCCTCCTTCCGCGTCTCTGACTCACACAGTGTGCTGTATACAGGGGTCGTGTTGGTGACAGACGCCATGGCAGCGATGGGTCTTCCGCCCGGCCGCCATCACCTCGGTCAGCAGCTGGTGGACGTGTCAGCGACCGAGGCCGTCCTGGTCGGCACGGACACGCTAGCCGGCAGCATCGCGACCATGCAGACGTGCGTGCAGTTCTTCTACCATAACACAGGTGAGCGCCTCCACGCCTCGCTCGATCTCTCGTAGTCACATTCGCCGTTGCGTATCAGCGGAGGTGGATGCAGTTTTGTCGCAGTCACATGAGCCATTCCAAAGAGACGAAGGGTAACGGAAGGGAGGGCATCCATTCCCAGTTTAACAAATAGAAAAGTATGCCATTTCCCAGTTTTTTAAACCACACTCAGATTTCCCACATCCCAGTTTACTTCTATTCCAGAATCACAAAAGATTTGTCATGTTTCTCGCTTTACAGATAATTTAAATGGTCTGTTCCTACCTTTTTACCGATAAAATGATAGTAAGTTAACACAAATCATAATTACATTAATACCCCATATCAAGGGCGTCAACAGCTTCTCAAAAGTGTGGGGGGGGGACATTTTGAGGCAGCAGAGCAACGGAGCGGGGGCTTGGTAAGGACTTTTTATTTTTGAGTATTAAAAACAGGCATTTGAATGCATTGTAGAGTGAAAATCAAGCAAAGTTTATGATGCTGCAAAATTAGTAGTTTATGCAGAAAATACAGGAATTTACTTTAGATGCTCTGTGGTGTGATCTGTGGAAGTGCTTTTCAGTCATGGTTCTGATCCCAAAAAAGTGGGTGGGGGAGACAAATGATATGATGCCCCCCCCCTTGGAATTACTTTTGAAAGTGGGTGGGGGGGGGCTTGTCCCCCCTGTTGATGCCCTTGCCCCATATAAGTAATGAGGTCCAGAAAAAAACCTTATAACACGAAAATGCTTCAGGTGAAGGACGTTTACCAGTTGACTTCCATTATGTAATTGTAGATGTGTTGATTGTGTTCCCATGGAACAATTTTTGGATAGAAAAATTACACTACATAGGCATATTAATGTTTCATCAATGTTATGTTATTTTATATGATGTCATATTATATTATTTAATTATGTAACTCACTAACGTGATGATAGTGTAAAGGAAAGGAAGTCAAGAATTATAATTTCTCTGAGGGAGAGGCGAGGTGCAATAAGAGCATCAGGCTATGAACTGGAGGCAAAAACTGTGTATTGTTAGTTGCCGTTCTTAGTTAGTTGGCAGATGAACTCTTTTTAGAGCTCCCTATAGCAGTTGAGACCATTGATACCGGGTAGGATCATCAGGAATAAAGATCTGCAAATCCTCTTCTACAAGGTGTAAGTTCGTACATGCGTGCGTGCGTGCACGTGTGTGCATGTACATAGGGCGTGTATGCAATATGCTTTATGCGTGCGTTAAAAGTTCGTGCGTGCATACCTGACTCCCGCCCGTTGCAGAGTGCAGTCCCGTCCAGGCGCTGGAGGCGGCGACGTTGCATCCAGCTCGTCTGCTCGGCGTGACACGTGACAAGGGAACGCTGGACTACGGCACGCACGCTGACTTCCTGTGGCTCGACAACGATCTGACCGTCAAGGCGACATACATTGCCGGCAAGCAAGTGTGGGGAGCCGACCACACATAGTCAGCACAAAACAATGCAACGTCTTCAAAGCATTTGCTGCTGTCCTGCACATATAATGAGGAGTTAATGATAATAGATTATTATATGTATATATATATATAAATATAGATAGATCTGTCATTATTCACTCCCGAGATAATATATGCTCACTGCGTGAACTCATCGTTGAAAGCTTTGGTTAATGGCACCTCGCGGTGTGGCTTATCAAATTATCGATCAGGGCTGGAGGAAAAAGGAGTTGATTCTGGTATCAGGTATGTGGATCATGAACCGATTTAGAACGGGAGTAGTAGCATCAGGAGCGGAATTGTATACATTAGTTTGTGGTGTAACAATTAGTAACCATAAGTTACTGATTTATATATTGTGTCACGAGTAAATAAAACACTAGTTATTTGTTTTTATGCTCTCCTGATGTTACATGTAATGTATTTGTTATTGATGTTGTAAGGATGATATTGCCTACACCTAAATTCCAGCTGCTAATCTCATGGAATCTCACTATTCACAAACGTTACCATGGCAACGTCTGCTGTCTACACCTTGCCACTACCTCTGCTTAGTCTGCTACCTTCTGTAATTTGTTCTTATTGCTGCTATGGGTTTGTATGTGTTCATTGTATTGACGCTGCTGGATAAATGCAAGCATTTGCCACGTGCACCGTGCAGTCATGAGTACACTCTCTCAATGTAACGTCTTTCCTATGAAAGCGTATCTCGTGCATATGCACGCATTGATGTGCGGTGATAAACATTAGTTTTATGGCAACGTGGTGATGCTAGTTGGACAATTACTATACACCTATCATTTATTGTCACCACGAGTGATATTCATACACCATACACACATAGCAGTCTCAGGGCTGCCAACATTGGGTGATAGGTGAGAGTGAGATGCGAGGGAGCGAAGCGACCGAAGGGGGGAGGGAGGGTGAAGGGGGTTTCCCCCCTCCCACGGTAGGGAGCTTTTGCATTTTATAACGTCAATTTGTGCAATTTGGTGCATACTAAAGTGACTGTTTTCAGATATTGTAAGATTTTTTTTTGCTGTGCGTGAGATATTTCAGCGTTGTATTCATGAAGAGATATTCATGCGTGAGATATCTCAGCATTTTTTTTGCTGTGCGTGAGATATTGTAAGATCAGCGTGAGAGCGTGAGATTTGGTCAAAATGCGTCTCACGGTCAATGCGTGAGAGTTGGCAGCCCTGCAGTCTCTCAGGTGAAATGGCCAGCCAGTGTACTACTAAGTACTAACTCTAAAACATGCAACTAGTATGTAGTTATTATTTGTAAATAATATAACTATAATTATGTGCTTAATGTGTATTTTAAAGTGATGGGGTTATTTATATAATCGAGCTGGGTTTTCTGCATTTCCATATTCATGTTTGCAAACAAAGCTTAATGACGTTTCTGTATAAAACAATGTTTTGTGATGCCAGCATGTTTCTCACTGTATCCTACTTTCTTTACTATACAAGTGACATTGAGCACGTATTGAAGTGCACGCATTACAAGTTAAATATAATTGATGGGTTGATGTGTGGAAATGTGATTATCGCAGTTAATGTTTAGAAGATGGATTGTGTTGGATTATTTCTTATATATAACTATATATTTTATTGCTATGGTGAGTTTTTGTGTAAACCTATAACCTGGCTATAAAACTTCTTTTCACATATTTTTACAATTTTCACTTTTTAATGGAAACAATCAATATTTATTTGTACATGTCGACGCACACCACATATTAAATACCCAGGTAAAAACTGGTTAAACACATATAATACAACCTGCCCATCATTCCCACCTAGTACGGAACCACAGCAACATCATTTGTTGCTTACAATATATGCAGCAGCTTGGAACCAAGGTGAACATAGTTATCACAGGATTTCACTAACTGCACCATCACATCGGCATAAAATGCCATGTCGTGTTAGTAATAGAAACTAGTTTTATTTTCACCAAATAAAGCAAGAAAACTGCGACATATTTGCAGCAGATCATTCTGCGTGTAATCCAGCTGGTAAAACTGTACGTTCCACGAGTGCGTGCAGGTAATTCACTGCTGTGAATATTGGAATAAATTCATTGGCTTTCCGGACAATGTTAGGAGTAATCTTTCGAATTATAAAGTATATTTGTTGAGCTTAATTGAAGATTTTAAGATTGAACTATCACTAACGAGTCATGAACAATACACTGTATTTATCCTAAAATACAATTGCTGCTGTGAATTCTGTGCAGGGGACTTTGAAGTGTGACACACATGGCGGACTCACTCGTAACTGAAGATATTCCTGATACATATATTGACACAGAAAGGAATAACGGGAGCCTTGGTGGTTGGTTACATGTTCACAGAGAAGGAACAACGGGAACTTGGGTCATGTTTTCCTGGAGGAGGAGGAACGGCTGACGACCAAAACAACAGTGAACGTTCAGATGCAAAACATTATCATGTGGCAAACGTAGCTAGGCCCCTCAGTAGATACGCCTCATCAGGGACGTAGTGGTGGGACAGATTTGCGGCAGACTACCTTTTCATTCATCGTGCTCACGCAACAAATAAACCTGTCGTTGATATTTCGCAATCATTAAGATGTTCATAGAATCCATTCAGTTCACAGCGTCGCATTTTCTCTCGCACATTGCGCATCTCCTTGCCACTGAGAACTTATCTCATCATAGTGTCTCACTGCTGGAACTACGCACGTCCCCACTCTCTTGCCGCATCGAATGGCCCTTGTTATTGTGACTCGGCCCATTCAAAAATGGAGTTATCCATAGTCACCTGACTTTGAGAACCAATCAGACTTCGGCAGACATGACAGACATGTGGACCATCGACATTGACTCGACACTGAAGGTCACGCGAATGAACCAACCAATAAAATTTTACCGGGCGAGCATACTTTGCCCAACCTCGAAAATAACTAGACCGAAAGCAGAATGAACGTTTGGTAATATGGTCACCTCGAAAATGTCTAAGATCGTTGCAGCAAAATTTACACGGCGACCGAGATGAGAGATTTTTAGTCACGCCTGCACGCACATCGGCGCGACCATTCAGACACGGTTTTGTGCTGGTTCGTTCAGGGTAGGTTAATGTACACCATTCAACTCTTTGCATCGTCTGACTTCAACCTAGTGCTGCAATGAGCAACTTGTGGGCCAGTCCGTCCCTTACAACGTCCTTACACTCTTACATGCCTTGCTCACTTAATGACCCTTGCACACTTACAACATAGATATAAAAACATCGGGTGGATATTCAACAGGGAATTCACATCTAGTGACAACTCCCAGAATGTAAGTACTAGTACGTTACACAGCCACCACCTCCTCCTCCCATCCCCTCCCCCTCACCTCTCCTCTCCACTCTTCCCTTCTCCCCGTATTCTATCTTCCACTCTCCTGCTCTCTCTCCTCTCATCCTCTTCTCTCTCATACTGTCTCCTCTACTCCTCCCCTCTCGCCTCCTCTCCTTCCCTTCCCTCCTCTATCCGTTCTCTCCCCTCTCCTCTCCACTAATCTCCTTTGCTCTCTTCCTCTGTTGATCGTTAAATGTCTAGCACTGCTACTACACGAAGCTGTCGCAGCGACGCATCTCTTCTCCTCCCAATGCTCTGGTCGTTAAGTGCCGTGAACCTTCTCGCCACCATGGGGAACTGTCCGTTGGCGGGGGCTACTCGAGACCGAGCAGGTAGTTGATGCCCTGCACGGCGGATATGATGAGTGGCTGCCACGCAACCATGTATCGTATCCAGTCGAGCAGTTGTCCGTAGAGAACGTGCGGCCGCTCCCAGCTAGTGATCATGAGGAACAACCCGACGGTCAAAGAAAACACAGACGCGTGCAGGCATACACGTACGCAAAAGATCTTACTGTCAACAGAGCATTCACTCCACTATGCGTGACTGACCCATCTGCCAGGAGTGATCGAGTCACAGCCAATCATTGTTGCAATGAGATGCTCTAACAAGAGTGCTCAGCAACAAAGTAACGCAAAATTGGCAACATGGGATGCACGTGTGATTACCGAGTACAACCTGGTATCTTAGCTTGACAGACCTTAGCAACAGTAACTAAGAGGGAATAATTATTACACTCACGCGAATTAGACAGGTCATCTCTGGTAACCAGGAGGATACCCTTGCCACAATTTTAAAACGCAGATGACCAGTAAGAATGAACCAACAGACACGTGGATGCATGCAGTATTGCAATGATACTTTCACATTGTATAGAGTTTGGATAACACTAGGTTCATATTACATGCTTTGAAAGGATACGGATTCTTGAACACCCTCTTCAGGTCTACTTTCTCCCTGCAGTAAGGACAAATCTGCTTCTTTCCTATGATGCACCATCCTCGAATGCAAAACTCATGAAAGCTGTGACAAGGTTAAAGATGCAACAAACATCATGAACTGGAAAGCAACAGAGAGACAACCTCATGGTGGAAAAATGAGATGATCCGGTTAAAACGTTTTCTTCACTATCTGTATTTTGCATAGACTTTGTGGCATTAAATATATCCAGACACAGTGCTATGAAAATGTGAAGTTACCATAATCTCTCATATATTGCCTTTCTCACAAACTGTTAACTTTGTGGTTAAAAAGTCCTTAATACACTGCTAGTTTCTAAGATATAAGACTACTGGTTACGCTATACATATCTACGCACACATGCACACACGCACAGACACACACACACAAATACAACTACTGGTTACGCTATACATATCTACGCACACATGCACACACGCACAGACACACACACACAAATACACCCACACGCGCAATCACACATGAACGCAAGCAAGCACACACAAAAACGCATTAGCACATACGCACACGGTCAGGCACAAAGGATACACATGTCCGCAGTTTAGCTGGTACGTTTTTTCTATGACAGCTGAATCGTTGTCACCCAGCGTGACCAACAGGTGGTTGCCGCACACTGAACAGATGCCCGGTTCAAGACCTCGTGCGGGCAGGCCACTGTGAGAGTAGTACTGAAAGACAAGCAATATTATTACTTACTACACAGACTTCATTGATTGTATCTTCTTGGCTCCATTCACGCAGCATGGGCTCTCTGCAACCTCGCTGCTTTGGCTTCTGTAATGGGCTTTGTACAGCAGCGTATTCACTCATATGTTGGTGAGGTTGTTAGTAGTGCGCTGTTTCCCTAAACGCATTTCTACATCAGGTGTCAACTGAAGCAATTCGAGATGAAGTGCCTTGCTCTTTACGTACATAATAAAGGGAGGTAATAAAGGGAGAGTCCCTATAATGGAGAGGAGCTCGGTGGTAGCAGCAGTAACTATAGCTGTACTGCAGTAGTGTCTATAGAAGAAAATTTGAATAAAGTGCCTTATTCATGACACAACAGTAGTGATCACATTGGGGCTCAAACTCCAGACCACCGGCATTACCATAAATCACATACATAGGACAGCGTAACAGCATGGTAATAAGATGAGAATTTATTGTGTCCCAGGTGCTTTTTCAACATCTTCTGTAATATTATTTAATTAAAAATTCACGAGGCAGATAAAATTTCAACTCTCATGAACAATAACAAAGGCATGGCTACATCTTGCATCTGGACACATCATGGGAACCAACACGCACAGATATATCATATGTACTGTCAAATCTGTATATAAAGGTAATTTGCAAGGGAAATGCCAAATGTGTTCTCTATAGACTGCTGTCCATTGTACAGAGGTTGTTTCACTGTGTAACTACCTTTCAAGATAAATACTAAATGTACTTTATAAAGACGTATCCATTCTATAAAGGTGGTTTCACTGTATAACTATCTCACTTAATGAATAATACTTAAAGGGATCCTTTACTCTAGGTTCTAGGGTTATTTTCAGTTAATTTAGGTTAAAATTACGCTACATAAAAAGTTTCATGGTTCAATCACCATTAGAAATATTTTTTTTTAATGTTTTAAAACTAATGACTACAGTTTGATTACAACGACGGTGGCGCCACTCAGAGCGCACGATCTGAAAAGTTGCGCAAAACGACTTTTCAGCCAAGGGCTACATACCGAGGGTGTTTCTTATTTATTAATTTAAAAGCAAAAGGATTGTAATATCTTATAAACGACATATAGTTTCAGTTATATTATGGATAAATTTGTCCTAAAATGAACATTGTTCGGTTAAATAGCATTTAGGTATAAATATAATTGCACCTTTGTGATTAGCCCTTGGTCTGTAACGTGCAAAATATATTGGGAAATGCGCAACATTTTCAGGGTGGCAGCACAGTCGCGGGTGTCAATGGCGCCGTTCAAATTTAGTAGCGTTGATGTATAATTAATTATAACAATTAAATTAGGTATCTGGTAACAAGTACGTGTGGGTATAGACGATTTGTTATACAATAAGTACAGTTGTATGCAGTAAAATCCTAGAGTCTAGTATCCCTTTAATGTATCCTTCATAAACAAGTGTTCGTTCCATAAGCTGGTGACAGCTAACCCAGACTCGACTCTACATGATGGGATACCGGTGGCGCGGCATCACAATCATGATGTAACCGCGTCGTCTCTCAGCACTTACCCCGACCTTCGCTGCGATCTTGTCTGTGCAGATCTCAGCGAGGTCACGTCCGACGACGCCATAGTAGAGGCCGTAGTAGAGACAGAGGATGCCGAAGTCCATCCAGGTGTTGGGTTTAGCGAGGAACAGAGCGTTGACGCCAAGCAGTGTGAGCATGATAGCGAGGTAGCCAACGATGCCGAGACCGTAGCTAATCTTATAGATGAGATAGAACCACTTGTAGACCAACCTGCATGGGGAGAGAGGAAACATGTGGTTGACATGCCCATCCGAGCGAGAGAACAATGCATCCTTATAATATGCCAACATTCGGGATTATTTACGATAGAGTAAAAAGGAGGGCCGTTTACATCACCGATTGTACTAGATATTCCCTAGCAGAAAACTGACCTATCTATCTGAGCAAGATAGGACCTTAGATATTGTTGCTAGATTGATCACGTTGCACCAGTTTGTACGTGTTTTTCACGCATGCCCAGCAAAATGTTTAACTGGAAGCATTTTAGTTCCAGCAGTCTTTTACTAGTTTAGAATGTTTTATCACAACAAGGATTGGCTAAAACTGCCTGTCAATCACACCATGGATAACAAGTTATTTTACTTTCCTGTGTGCCACTGGATATCGACAAATGTGCGAGTACAACAACAATATCAATCACTATCACTCTGTGCAGATCATGATTCAGTTACGTAAAATTCCTTCATCCACTTTCATTTGTAAACGTATTCCTCACAGACTTCACTGTACACTACGTTATGATGAACTATAACTAGCCTCACTTGGTTTGCTCATTCACCAGACTCAACCAGTTTTGCAAACGATTGTTCCATTTGCCACCGAAATCTACTTGACTTTTTAATTATCGACTACTCATTAGGGACGGACTTACCTGGGCGTTGACCCAGCCAGTAGCGGTCGGGTAGCTTTGAACATTACAAATCCTGTAGCCATGTTGAAAACGCACCAACATATAATGAATCGCCACCAATGATGTGACACGCAGATTCCGACAGGAATCACCATCATTGCAATCAATGTCAGCAGCTAAAAAATTATAACACAACGTAAAAAGATATGCCTGCAGAGCATAGAATATCAGAGCTGGAATGTCACCATGGTACCAACAGCAGGTGCCATGGTTTCCCTCTTTACTTGCCATGATTACCCAGAAGCCTCATATTCTCATGACAATAAACTGCACTATCTAATTTGTCTCTGTCCCTTTCCAATAAATCATATGTAATCTAAGTCTGTTTGTTCCACATAAATAGTTGTTAAAAACTAAATGGCATTGATAACCATTCATTGAAGGAAATATATCCCTTAGTGTTTCCCCTGGCCAAAAACGTCTGTGAGATGGTGATTTTTTTTTGGCGTGTTAGCATTTTGAGGTCCTAGCAAAGTGATCTAGGGGGGCCGGGGGCATGGCCCCGGAAGATTTTTGAAAAAATGGTGCAATTTGGTGCATTATAGCTATTCGGAACACATTGTATGAGATTTTCGTCAGTGAGGCGGTGTTTTTGACAAATTTCTGTGTGGCGGCTGAGAATTTATGGGAAGCGGCCCGCCTCACTCGTGTCAATGCAGGGGAAACACTGCCTTGGTACCCCTCTAATTTGTCACAGTGCTATGAAGTGGCGATTAAACACAAGGCAGCACTCGCCTCGTTTAAAAAAAGCTCAAATCCAACCTCAACACCATCAGAACATACCTGGTAGGATCGAAAATGAAGCTTCTTCCACTGCACTAGTGCCACCTGGGCGACGAATATGGCGGCGATAAGGATGAGGACCATCTCAGCATGCATGGCTTCATGTCCACGATGCTTCTCATGCAGCTTCTGATGCTCCAGCCTGCAGCAATGAGAAGATCCAGTACAGCCGTTGGCATCCGCATCTTACGTATCGTATGAAGTATCGATATTAAAGGCCCCCGCACACAGTGAGGTGCCTGCTGAGCAGGAAGCTCTCGCTCCGTGCACAGCAGGAACCTCACTGTGTGTGCAGGGTCGATCTCACCGAGTTTTCGGTCTCGCGAGGCGGCGAGGAAAATATCTGTCATGCTTGATAATTTTGGTCTCGCGAGGCTGAACTTACTGTTGGCGCATGCGTGTTTAGTTATTCCGAAATGGCTGTGCATTTTGATTGGTTCAGACGTGCACCCGCTCCAATGACCGCTTCGTGCCCCCGTGCACCAGACAGTGGCACCCGCGGTGAGACTCCTGCTCAGCACGAAGCTCATCGTGTGCGGGGGTGAGAGGTTCCTGATGACCACGGAGCATCAGCTTCGTGCTGAGCAGGAGTCTCACCGTGTGTGGGGCCTTTAGCTAGTGTTGTCAATCGATTGTAATTTCGTAATCGATCATCGGTTGGACCCAAGTAACCGATGATCGGTTACAATCGGTTACTCGGAGTGTTGAATGCCTGCGTGTGCGTAACGTCGTGTGCATGTACGTGTGTGCATGTATGTGCTTGTTTAGCCCTGTTTACTGTTTGTTTTGCACTGTTTACTACTGTGTATAATACATGTATGTTAATAAAGGATAACTTGTATAGTAGCGATAATATCTCTGATTCTCATCACTTTTCCAAGTTTTCTTGTTCAAGTTTTACATTTCTTTCGATTTTTTTTTTTCCGATGAAATCGATTATGGATTTTGAAAACCAAGCGCTTGGTTCGAGGCCACTATTCAACCGATGATCGAGTATAATCGATGATCGTGACATCACTACCTTTAGCACATCTCCTCCACAGAGATGTAGAGTGGCAAAGTGGTCCAGAGGACAGACACATGCATCCATAAATCACACATCAGAGTTTTTAGAATATATTTTTGTTTAGAAAGTACTAGATACACCCATAAATAACAGTATCAGAAGAGATCAGATGAGGCTCGAACAGCCGTATTACTATGACTCTGGCTTTGAACTCTATGCGAATCTGGGTGGAGGCTTACCTAGCCGTTCTTGATCAGTAGTTGTGACATGTCTAATGTCTAAAAAAACAAGGTTATGAGTAGTTTACAAATCATGTGAATATACGCATGGTTAAAACATGTTTTTACTATAGTGTAGATTTCACGAGACAGAGAGAGCACATTCAACCTTCATAAAAATGTATTGACCACACTGGTAGCAATCAACGTTTTACCAATATAACAAACTACTAACTAGTGCTATAACTATAAGTCTCATAACCTCATAACTCACTGTCATAAGGAATAGACTTAAAACTCCAATAGAATATAGCAAAGACAGAGAGACATACAAAGTTTTTTACTGGGAGACAAGTTAACAATGCAGATTCCAGTATGAAGCCACAGCAACCCAAAAGTGGTAGTGTGTAACATCCTGCACACTGCCTACCTAAGTTAAGACACTATGACACATCTACATACGACTTATGCAACATTTATTCACAAATAGAAGTGCTTTCACTGTAGAGGAGAATGTGCGACCAAAAACCGTATTGCAATATATTGCAATAACGATCAAAACCGTATTGCCAATATTTTCGCAATACGGTTATTGGAATTGTATCCCATGCATGATATAGTAACATAGTTGATGGTTTTTCATATCACCATTATCAAGGCTTCGACACTAGCGGTGGCCGGTGTGGCCCGGGGCATCCAAAAACGTTGATGTGGCCACCAAAATTTCCAAATGTTAAAATTTGTGGCCGCCGGGGCGCAGCTAAATTCAAAGTGTCTATGTGAGTAAAATAAATGTGTTTCGTTACGTGCTAATTCTATTCCAAAAAAGCGAGCATTCGCGGAGGGCGAGCATCACGTACGTCACAGTGGTCAGCATTCTACTGCGTGCATAACGGGCGCACGTTTTCCGTCTAGCTGGCGGCTTGCAACAAGGCACATGTTATTGTGTTAACCGGTATCCGCCTTCTACCCTGGCTAGAAATGTACATCGCTCTGCGACGAATCAGTTCGACTCCGCCGAACCAGTCTAGCGCATGAGGTGCCTAAAACTGAGGGCGGGCGCAGGCCATAGCATATTTTGGCAAGCGCCACTCATACATGTGATACATTGTCCAAGGCGAACCAGACATGCGTGCTAGCACAATACGCTGTCTGCAGTGGTACTGTGGTGGGCGTATGGTAAAAGAACGCGAGCGATGAGAGTTTCCGAATTAGGCAAACAATTGTGCCATAGATAAAAAAATGAATCTGAAATTTCTTCATTTGTTTGTATGTATTTTGTTAAAAATGTGTAAAAATGTTCGGGACACACACTCCGTCCCAATGCGTCCCGGGAAGAGTCGGTAACGGGACGCGGGACCATGGGCAAAATAACGGGACGTCTTGTTTCACTCTCTGAATTGTAGCTTAGCTGCAGCTGGGTGCTTTCACTGGGTTTTCCGGATCCGAAGGCGAAACCTGCCAGCGTTTTCGAAGAAGTTGCGTAGATAAATAACTGAAGCTATTCTCATGAAGATGATCAGTTAAGTTTAATTCGAAGTGTAATATTAGTGCTTTCGTAGAGTTTTATTTTATGGCATTTTCTCTGTCTCTTTAGCGGCACGAAATATTGAACTTTAGTCTTAGACGATGGCTGCTTTTTCTTATTTAAATGCATGCGTACCCAGGCTACTTTGTGATTATAATTATGGTTCTACTTTATTTATGCTTATTAAATCTGCATATTTTTATTTTACAGTTTTCAAAGCCTGCCAGACATTTTAACTTTCATGAGATAAATGTATATGTTTTATCTTAACATGTAAAGCCAGATGTGTTTGTTGCTGTTTATTACAGTTATTGTTTTATTTTATTTGCATGCTCTGTTGACTTTGGATCTTCTTGAACGTCTGAACTTGATCGAGTAGCATGTGGCACGCGGTGTTTACTAAAGTAATGAGTGAAAGTAAAAAATGGTATTCAAGATTCTGGTGAATAATTTGATGGCGTGGAATGGGATAATTCAACATGTGATGCCTCATTCATCAATGTCAGTGTGGCCCATTGTGTGGGGTTGTTTAAAGACTTGTGCAAGTGCATCAGACGGCCCTCAATTTTCAGAATATATATGACAATGCCCGCACGAGATCTGAAAGAAAGATTTATAAGTGTTTTTCTTTGTTTTTCCGGGCCACAGATTTCATTTCGGGCCACCAAAAACTTGAAACAATCATATGATGTTTGGTGGCCCGATGGGCACTGATAAAAAAAGTTGAGTGGTCGAGCCGTTGCATCATATATTTGTATTATATGATATGAATTTAATTTTCTATGTTTTTCGTTGAGAAACAGAAGACGGCAATGTTTTCCCGCCTGACAGTGCACGCCCTCTGTGCCGTAACAATGTCACCCGCTGTATCTGAATCCGGCCTCTCGAAGGCAACTGACGTAGCTGTGAATATCACAATTACCCTGCTGTCATAATTGGCTAATACTGGATCTGAAACTGGGAAACTGAAACTGAAACGTGGGTGCTCGGCTTCAGGCTTGTATCTGCGCGCGCGCGGGCACTTCATGCGGAGCAAGGCTATATATAGAATAACTCCCTAGTTGCCGTGCTCGTGCCGTCGCGCACAGAGGACGTCTGCCCACTCTGCCCGCGCAGTAGTACCCGCGCAGTGCTCCATGCATGGCCGGCTTACAGTAATACTGTAGTCTGTGTGGCACCGCATTGTGGCTTTCGGTAATATCTACACCGCAGTGCATAAATTTTCGAGCCCCATTAACAATATATGACATAAAGGCAAGTGTCCAGTAATTTATTTCTTGTTATACCACCGTATCGTAAAATATCGATATCCGGAAGTTGTATCGCGATATATCGAGTTTTCAAAATATATTGCAATATACCGATATACCGGTATATCGTTACACCCCTAATTCACTGTAGAGCAAAATGTTGCATTAAAATCTGCTAACTTGGTATTTTACGCTTAGTAATAGTAACTTTATACCTATGCACAAATTGAAGAGATTCGGCCATAAGAACAGCGTATATCACATCCTCTAAAATCACATCTGGCAGCATGATGGTGAAAACTTTCTGCAATTTGTGCATAGGTGTGAAGTTAGTGGGTTAAATGCCAAGTTAATTCATTTTTTATCCCCTAGTAAGTCTAACATTATTTCCCTGTTAGTGCCACTTCTGTAGCTCTAGTAGTATAGCCCGCATACAGTTGCCGCAGGGCTATAGAACATTCTATTACGAATGCTAGGGACCAACTTATTCACGGTTACTCGCGGCTATAAAACGTCTGTGGTAGGCAATTAATGCCTCTTATCCGAAGTGAATATGTCTTAAGTTATATCAGCTACTAAAATTTAACCACTAACTATCGTTGAAATGGTCTACTTGCGGTATTTCTTGTGAACGAACATTATTTACGAACCTCAAACGGCCATTTTTGGTGGCGCTGGAGCAGCACCAGTCAGCGGGAACTATGTATTTCCGCACGTGGAGGGGTGGGCAGGTTGTGGACAAAAACATTGTTGTTGTCAAGTAACAAATTAAGCGATAAAAAAAGATTGTAATATTAGTTTTGTCATGAAAGATGAACAAATTACTATTATTAATTTGTTACTTGACAACAACGTTTTTGTTAGCTCTAGTAACTATAGCCCGCGTACAGTTGCCGCTGGCACCAGCGGCAACTGTACGCGGGCTATAGTTACTAGAGCTACGTTTTTGTCCACAACCAACACAACCTGCCCACCCCTCCACGTGCGGAAATACATATAGTTCCCGCTGACTGGCTGGAGTAAGTTGGTCCCGAGCATTCGTAATAGAATGTTCTATAGCCCTGCGGCAACTGTACGCGGGCTATAGACTAGAGCTACCACTTCTGCAGTTCGTCAGTTGTCAACAAGTGGCGTAGTTCATTGGGTAGGTTGTGAGCAGGACATAACATTAACACACTAACCACTGAGAGTAACACTATCACTGTTACTGAGCAACAATTCTAACCACAGCCAGGCTGCCTGGCTGGTGGTTGGTGTCAATTATTTGCCCGGCAATGCCAATGGTGAGAACTCATTCGAGTCATTGATCAATGTACATTACTCATGGCATTACTCATTAGTATTACTATTACTATTAGTATTGCTCATAGGGTCTATGTCCCCCAGGGTACTGCCGGAACGTAACCTGGTACTATCTAATATGCTGGACCGTACCTCGCCTACTCCACTAACGAGTCTAGGGAGTCGCCTACGCCTACTCCACTAACGAGTCTAGGGAGTCGCCTACGCCTACTCCCTAACCCTTACCATATCAAATAGTTACCAGGTTACGTTCCGGTATACCGGATAGTAACCAGGGTACGTTCCGGCAGTACCCTGGGGGACATAGACCCTATGGCTATGAGCATTAGTATTACTATTGCTGATACTGATAGGGTTTATGTCCCCCAGGGTACTGCCACTACTGCCGGAACGTACCCTGAGGGTTCAAGGATAGAGATGATGTCCAGTACGGTGATTCGATAGGATGATGTTAGTTGATAAGATAGGACTGGACATCTGGTATACCGGTGGACTGGCGGACTGGTGGTATACCGGACCGTAACCAGGGTACGTTCCGGCAGTACCGGTACCCTGGGGGACATAGACAGTATGACTATGAGTTAGTATGAGCATTAGTACTATTAGTATTACTATTACTATTAGTAAATTAGTATTACTATTAGTAAATTAGTATTACTATTAATAGTATTACTATTCGTATTACTACTATTACTAGTATTACTATTAGTAGGGTAGTATTACTATTAATAGTAT